CATTATTATTATTCATTATTATTATTATTATTATTCATTATTATTCATTATTATTATTATTACTGTTAAATTCTTAGACTCTGAGAAAAAAATGAAATATTTTGCTTCACAATACCTTCTGTATATACTTGCTAATAAAGTAGTGGAGTCTATTATTCAATTCAGATAAATTTTTACAGAAATTCAACGATCAGTAGCATAGAAGGTTCATGCCTAATCTCTGTCTCGTAGACATTGGCGTGAAGAGATAGATTGATTAGTAGAGTGACATACCGAGTCTTAGCAGAGTAACTTTCACACGGCGCCTTCACTTTGTCTATGCGTTTAACATTTTGTTTTTGCTACGCTTAGAGCTTGAGAACTTGTTAATGTTCGTAAAATAAAATACAATCACTCTCTGTATTAATTTTTCAGTTTATATTCTCAGTGGTAAATGTCATTTGATGTTGTTGAAAGGTATTTTTTGTATTTCACATTTCGCTGTTTTTGTTCTTTCATAATTAGTCTTTGTTTTTTTGTCTCACGTGTGATTCAAATACACGCATATATATTAAGCATTATTGTATTCATTAAATTAAAGCATTATTATAATCATTTATTCAGTTTGCATGTTTAATTTTTTTTAAAGTGTAAAAAATAAATTACTGATTTATATTTACGTCTACACCTTTATTTAGCTTTACATTTATAGCTAGCTTAAATAATGATTATTTCACTCTAGCAATCGGGAGCACGTCTGCTCTAAGCATGCAATTATGTAGCAGAGATGTATGTTTATTTGCATATTTCACGTGGTATAACAGTAATTGCATACTGGAACAGCAGGCAGGCTGCAATTATCTTAAGCTCATCCAATAAATCATTTACACTCTTTTTGAATATGTAAATTTGTGCACGTGTGAGGATTGCGATGCATCTTCATTACTGCGTGGTCTTGTAGAACTGCTCAACGTAAATGCAGTCCATTCAACAAATTTGCACTGAAATGTTAGTAGATGATTTTGCGCATTAAAACAATCTTCTGAAATTCCACCTCCGGACATTCCAGACTTTTACTTTCAGGTGGAAGTAAATAGTGTAGTGCTGCCATGAAAAGAGCAGATCGTTTGCGAGAGGTAAAATTTTGGAAATCTTAGTTGAAAACTTCTTAAGTTATGACTTTAAAAGACGTTATTAAATCTCTTTAGTCATTGTGCAGAACATTTACTTTACATGTTTTATGCTTGTAACACACATGTAAATTAGGTAAGAAGCAATTGTTTGCTTAATAGGGAAATGATCTAAAGCTGATGCTTCGATCTATCACAGTTATCACTTTGTTACATAGTTTACTTATTACAGTACTAATGGAATATCTTTTTATCTAACAGTATATCTGCAGGAATTCAAGATTATCTAGGTGAGGCAGGGTGTTGTTGAGACATAAGAATTTGCTGCTCAGCCAATAAAACTTTAAGTAAAGGAGAATAATTCATATCATTACTTTAAATGTACTTATTTTTTATTTTTGTGATGATGTCGAAAAGTCACGCTTTTGGGCATAATTATTGCTTTAGTATTTTTATTATGTTATATTGCAGGTAGAAGAATCTGATGATGTAGTAACTAAAAAATGCGAAATTTTGGCTGATATATTAAAAAAGTCCAAATGCACTATTGTTTATACTGGAGCCGGAATCAGTACAGTAAGATTTTGCTTCTGACAGAAAATTCTGCTGACCAATGCAATTGTAAGCTAGATACTACTTTTAAAAAACTATCAATCAAAAAATTGGGATCACTTTCTAATGACTTATGTTACGTGCGTACTACATTAATAACATTTCAGAGTCCACTTTTTTAATGAAAATGTGCGAGCTTATCTGAACGCAAGTTAAAATAATGATAAACGTTATTACGAGGCATTTATATTTCAGTTGGTTGTTGTCCAAACAGCTAATGTAAAAAATAAAATTCAATCATTTTTCAGGCAGCTTCTATTCCAGATTATCGAGGTCCCAACGGAGTTTGGACTTTGGCCGAAAAAGGAATCGTGTCTTTGAAGTGTGTTTCATGTTTTAAATTTCTATTCTCACTGAGTTAGTATTTTACATCTCTATTCTGTCCGTCTTAGATTACAATCAGCTTTTTCTTAGCATACTGTATTTTCAAATGTCATCATATTATTCGTTTATTTCTTAATTTCAGATGCGCCGATCCAATTCAGTCGGAACCAACTGCTAGTCATATGATTCTGAAAGAAATGTGCAGAAAAGGACTAATACGACACGTACTGTCACAGAATTGTGATGGTTTGCATCTGCGTTCAGGCTTACCGCAAAAAATGCTGTCTGAAATTCATGGGAACATGCATATTGAAGTATGCCAGCATTGTGAACCACCGCGTCAATATATCCGACCGTATGATGTTACAGAGAAAAGTCAGTTTAGGTCAGTCTGTTTTGGTATTTTTCTGAAACAGGTCTTTCAAATGTTTTCATATTATTTCCTTTTATTTTTTGTAAGTAATATTGTGAACAGGAGTTATCTTTAATATCTTTTTATGTGCATTATAATTGATAATGCATTGATGTATTTAGAAATATTATTGTGCTATGAGCAGTTGATTAGAAACTTTTCATAAACTTTATGAATTTAACTTTTTTCTTTTAATTATATTATTAATTTCAGGCGTCATGGCACAGGGCGTATGTGTGAAGTATGTAATAACGAGTTGGCGGATACAATTGTTCATTTTGGTGAAGCTGGTAAAGTCCCGTGGCCACTTAATTGGAATGGAATTATTCCGTTGATCAGTAAATGTGATGTCATATTATGTATAGGAACAAGTCTCACTGTTCTCAAGGAATACAGTTTTCTGTGGCCCAAGTCAAAAAGCAATACACAGGTCATCGCAGCCATGTTAACATACAAAATTCACCATAACTTTGTTATGTGTTATATGTCTCTTTTTACCAAGTAATTTTGTAAATGCTATTGAAGATATGAAATTGAAGATTGCAATTGTGAATCTGCAGTGGACACCGAAAGATAGAGTATCTTGTTTAAAAATTAATGCAAAATGTGACACTGTGATGAAAAAGCTGGCCAATATTTTTGAAATCGATACTGGTCGATACTGTCGGTTTGTATTGTTCTTCTTAGTAAATGTTTTTTTCACTTAATTTCATTCAGTAGTTCTTGTTATTTGGGTGTATTTTGTTATTCTTGGAGGTTGAAGTATTTCATTTTAGAAATTGTGATCCGGTGCTGAATCCCAAACGAAGTGCACGAATTTGGGAAATAAGAGAGCGACTAACAGACTGTACGTGTCGAAATCGTGAACCGCGCTCGGTTGTACAGCATACACCATCAAAGAGTATTCCGGGTTGGTGGGCATTTGAGATCCAAAAAGTGCTGAAGCGATCTCAGTGTTGGTTTTTTATCACAGTTTTCACAACGAAAAGTATTTTTTGAAGGATGTGTTATCGGATTCTTCTCAATGCAAGTAAATTTTCAGCATCACTACCTGTAAACTCTCGAAAACGTCAATGCTCCAGTAACTCTCAGCACAGTAATTTAACGAGTCCTCATGTTAATTTGTGTACTGCATTTATGGATCGTTCAGACGTTAGTCATGGTAGCTCATCATTTTCCAACGAAGAGAAAGGTGTTGAGGTGGTAAACAAAGAAAGAGTTATATCCAGTGATGTACTAAATCTGGGAAATTCGGTTAGTGAGATTTCCGAGCCTACTGCCGTGCAAGAGAGTGAAACGACTTGCATTGATCAGAATGTTAATCGTCATCATCATCAGACAATCGAGGACTGTTTAAATAATTTTTTGTTGTCTCTAAGAAAAGAGAGAAATCCATCACCGAATACTTCAGGTATGGAAAATGTACAGTAATACACTCTAGATTTGAATCTGCTTTTTGGTAGCTACATATACGGTCTTTAATTAATATTATTCTTACTAAATTTGCTGTTGTTTCTTTGTTTGTTTGTTTCATTTTAATCTCTGCCAAATGACACTTCTTGATCGGGTAATCCGTTAAATGATTTTCACTTATGTTTCAAGTGCATCAAAACATTGAAAAAGAGAGAAGTGTGATCTCGAACTATTAGAATAATTCCGTAGTTAAGCGTCTTTGCTTCATGAATATTTTTAAGTGGTTTCAGAGAAATAGAGATTAAAAGCAAAATTTTATTTCGCTCAGTCGATGAAAATTTTTCACCGGTATTGCTTTCTATCAGCTTTTCATGAAATAAATGTCTAACCTGTTAAAAAAGAAAGATATTCTGAAAACTGAAAACCCAGCAAGTTTTCGTAAGAAAACCTGCTGAGTTTTCATGTAGGGGAGATTCATTTTAACTTTTGTTTGGCAATGTATGACGATTTCAAAACCCGTGGGGATGTATTCACACCAGTGCTTTCAGTATCTTACAGAATCGGTTGCTTTCAGTGTACAAGTGGATTCAAATGTTGAGCTTGCTCTGTCTCTTTGTCAGTTGCTTTTACATAAGTGTGATCCGTTATTATTCCCGATGTGATATTTTGTTTTATTATTCAATTACTTTAATACGATTTGTTGTTTCAATAACTTTTTGTTTTTTGACATTTCATTAATTTGAAATAAATGCATTGTTTTCAGCACCTCGTGATATGGCTCCTTTTGAACGTATTTTCATCTTTTCCATTTAAAGTATTGTTGGGAAATGCCTTTGTCACAAATAGTTAGTTGTTTATATGTTTAGTGACTGTTTGATATAAGTGTTGGTATGCAGCATAATTTTGATGAACTAGTAGTACTGCTGAGAAGAAACAGTTTAATGCATTCAAATAATGACTAATTTGTTGTTAGCGGGAGATTTATGTGTGATTGCTAACTATTTCTGTACTAAGCTAAGTTGAGATACGTTCATGTCGTTTTTGAAAACTCGTGCATTGTGCAATAACGGAATGCTGACAGGCTTCTCCTAAATGTGAAAAAAGAATACAGTGTGCAGAAGTACGAAACTGACATTGTTCAGTACACAAATAGTAGTATATATTTACCTGAAATGAGACCATAATGATCTGAAGCTCTATGACATCAGTTATTCTGAAAGGACTGATAAAATGCGTAAAAGTATCTAATTTGGTCTAAATGGCTTAAAAAGGTTCTGGTTGATCTCTTGATTAATGAATATAAAGTAGGGTAGATGAGGATAAAAACAATGAAATTGCAGTTGTAATGGTTGGACGACAGTCTAAGTGCCATTTTATCTGTTAGTGAGATTATGACAAAGTAGGCAAGAAAATTTTAGGCAGTGTAATTCATTTATAGCTATAGTGTTAATAATACGACAAAATTGGAGATATATGTAATATGATAAAGAGCAAATATACGAATAGTCTCAACAATAAGACTTAGGCACATTTAATCCTTAAGAATACACAGGAATAATCATTCCACTCTATTCCAAAAGTATTTTGACACAAAAAAAATTGTATAATATTTGATTAGAATTTGAAACGCGCATTCTAAACATCAAAATTTGATGATGAAAATATCATTTAACCCTACCACTTATCACTTTACAGAACAAATTTTAAAAAATACAAAAACAATTCTCAGATATAAAATATGAAAGAAATTTCAGTAACAATAGTTGTAAAAATGGGAATAAATTTACTTTCAGTGAGCATAAGTAGTAATTAACTTAATATACAATCTCAATACAATTTCAAAAATTATTATTTATAGAGAAAAAAATTACTGTTTAGTATACCTGCAACAGTTGGAATTAAGTCTATTCTGCAATAAAAAAACTTAGCACAGAAAACTTAAAGCAACGTTAAATATAGTAGATCAAACATGAGCTTCACGCCGAATTACTGGTACAACACCACTGCGTACATATTCATCCTGTAATACAAGCTGCAGATAATAATCTTACTCCAAATTTTCATATTATTGATTAAAAAAATTAATAATTTATGGTTTAATTAACAGCAGCAATATATTAATTCAAGCTCAAAAGAATAATTGTTGAAAAAATTACTAACAAAAGGGTAATTTATTAATATTGTGATTAATATGTTTCTCATGAGCTCAAAATGCTACAATAACAAATCAGCTAATATATTTGCACTTTCTTACTCACCTCGGTTGGTTCTTCAGTCGTTTCCGTACGAGATCCGCTTATCGTAGCCTTAATTTTACTTCGATGCCATTCATCATTTTCTTGAGACAAGAATGCTCTACTTGGTTCTATGCTATAGGTCATTCCTGCGTATTGACGACTTCGTCTCCAAGCTTTTTCACGTTTTTGAATACTAAATTTTATTAAATATAAATATAATTTGATTAATATTGTTAATTTTAAAATTTGATCTGTTTTTGGTTTTGTTTTTTTCCGGAATATCAGTCATGCACGCAATATTCTCATTTTGACCACAACAAATGCAAATAGTCCAAATTAGCAATAAGCGATAAGTAAAATAAACTAACATGGCAAATATAATGACTAGAAAAATGATCAGAAGTATTGCAATACCCAAAAGACAGCCAAGTACAATAGTCCAAATACGAAAAACTGAAGAAACGAGATCCTGTAATTTCAAAAATTATTCAAAAAAGAAATCGCTAATAGTAAAAACATTTGAAACTTTGCCATTTAAATAAATGCTGTACAAGCTGAGTTTTATGATTTCATTTTTGTGAATTAATTTTCAAGCATATAGTAAAAGTGCTTTTTTTGCAATAATATTTTGCATTTTATTGACTTCTAGTCCATCATGAACAAGACTGGCAAAAAATAAGGAATATTTTGCTATTTCATTGAAGTAAACTAACGCAATAAAATTTTATGAAAATTTTTAGAATATTTTCAAAAACTTGCTAATAATTTGAATAAAAAGTTTACCATGCTTGGTTCATATATGAACTTTGACACAATGTGTAAACTAACTTGTTCAGTTTGATCTATCCTTGGAGTAACACATTCTGTCCCATCTTTCGTCAAATTAAGTGGGCAAGGAATACAATTTGTAATCTGTGATATGTTGAAAATTTAAAAGGTGAGATTTATTACGAAAAAATTTGCCAATTTGCTTAATGTTGCTGAACTTTCAGATTTTTGTTTATAATAAAATAATAGTTCAAATATTTTTAGTTCTATCAAGTTTAGAATTCTGGAATGCTTAGACAGCATAAAAAGTTTCTTTTTACTAGAATGAAGTAAGCGATAGATCAAGTTTTTCATTGATTGTTATTATTATGATCAAGCTTAAATAATTTATTACTGATTTAATGATTTCAAGAAACAGCCATTATATTGTGTAAACAATTCATGAAGCGTAAAATACTTAATGTAATAATATTTGATATTGTATTTGATAAAAGGATTCACAAATTCATGGCTAAAATTACTTCAAAAGTTTAGATTACTTACAGAACTTCCAAGATATTTACATGAAATTTGCATGCCCGTGAGGGTAGACACGCAAGCTGCGCACCGTTTGTTAGATGGCGCCGGAGCACACACTAGATCACAGCTTGGACCATTTTTATCTCCAATGCATTGTACACTATATACTACCTGCAGACTGAAATTCATGATTTTTATCCAGATATGCAAATTTTTAAAACGAAACTACTTTTTTAAAATATTGATGGGTTCAAATTATTTCACTCCAAATTTTAAAATCCCTTTGTATTAGAGTTAATGACATGACACAGATTTCAAATTTTAAAAATTACATCTGAAAAGACAAATTGAAGATATTTTTTATCATTATTAATTCGTTCTAATATTTTTGAATGATTTGAGAAATATTTCAACTTAAAACTACTATATACAAGAATATAGATCAAATTTTTGTTTTAAATAAAATTGTATGAAATTTTTTATCCCAACAAAAAGTATAAAAAATTATTTAAGGAGTAAAAGTTACCTGGTTCCTAATATTTGACCTCTGATTGATTTTTTTACAATATTAGGTGAAGTACCATAAACTGTAGCTTGATAGTCACGTAATGAAATAGTAAAAGTATCAATGATTGTCAAATGATTTAAATATTCCAAATTTCCAGTTGCCTTATCAATGACTACACCAAGATGATGAACAATAATATCAACTGCATTCTAGAATTAATGCTATTTCACTTCATAATTTTCGCAAATATTTAGAATATTTTCGAAAAATCATGCTGATTAACTGCAATACTCAAACCTAATTTTAAAAAAAAGAGCCGAACAATTATAATTTGTCATTTAACTAATTTTATTTCAAGACATAAAAGAAACTTACTGGCTTCACACTCATATTTAGTCTATTTTCATTAGTCCAAACACCAGAATCAATAGGAGTTTTTGAAACTAATACAAAAGGACTTTCAATAAATCGTGCTGATTGACTACAATAATGATTGATTACATTTAAATCATGTATTTATTTTTAAGAAGTTTTCAAGTTTTACGCAAAGTCATACGTAGTTCTGATAAATTTTGATATGTCATTAGGAAGCTTTAAAGCTATTTATATTACTTTATGAACTGAGAGCTCTTCATAATTTTTAAATTATTTCTATACTATTTGAATTTTTCATAACTTTTGTGATTACTGACAACAATACTGATCAGTATTTCAAGAAATGCTATTAAAAGCTTTAAACTTGCATTAGGATGGATTTTTTTGATAGCTATAAGTAATACACAACCTTATCAAAGTTTTTTGCTTAAAACCATTAAAAGCGTAAATGTAAGAAATTAAACTGATTTAGTTGATATTGCAATACATTTATATAC